GCGGCTGCAGCCCATAAGTGGCATGGTATGTTGGGCAAGATTTTGGCACAAATTTTAGCTTTCCTGTTATCATTGTCATGGAGCGAGATTCAAAATATAAAAAAATGTTACTGTATCACAAAGTAACTCCTACAGTCACAAAGTAACCCCATCTTACGGTATATATAAAATAAATATATGTATAAAATTTATATATATATATATAAAATGTCTTTTTTTAGAAAATTAAATTCATTGAGAATCGAGCGTTATCTTTTCAAAGCGCTTTCTAAAGTGCAATCAGTGTATTATTCTTCATTGAAATGCTATACAACGGTGGTTCAGTTGTAAATATAGTACTTTATAGCGATTATAAGTATAGTACTGCAATTAGTAAGATGTCGCTGAAATGATCAGTGAACAGTAACGACTGTTCTCATTATTGGCGCATTTTACAAGCAATACAGACAGTGTTACACGCAAAGGGCGCACGGAAACCGTTATATATATATATATATATATATATATATATACATTATATATTATTATTTAATATATATAAAAGCAAGAAAATTTGCTCCTGCAGCTAATATTTTTAGTTGTCCATATATTAACAAATCTTTTTTTTTCGTGTGTGTGTGTGTATATGTATATAACGGTTTCCGTACGCCCTTTGCGTGTAACACTGTCTATACTGCTTGTAAAATGCGTCAGTAAGAAAATTTGCTCCTGCAGCTAATATTTTTAGTTGTCCATATATTAGTAAATCTTTTTTCCGTGTATATATATTTTTATGTATATATATTTATGTATATATATATTTATTTCTTTATACGAGCATCATTCGCAAGGAAATTATGTAAAAGAAGCGGGATAAAGAGTGTCCTTTCAGGCAGGTGCACTTTACGCAGTAATGTGATTCGCATTCGTGGCACAATAGTAAATGGTACTGCATCGCGGGACCGCAGAACTCCTAATTAGAGCGGGCGAGATCGATTTCCTGCGGAAGCCGCAGTTAGAAAAGCGTCTAAACGTACGCGCGGAGAAGGCGTCAGAACAAAAAGCATATTCGATGCGCTGATTGAAAGGAAGAGAACCGCGCCCGATTGCGCGTGCACACGTTTCCGCGACTCGTTGCGAGTTCTGATATTTCCAACGCGCGTTTTTATGAGGAGAAGTGTGTGCCGGGGTATTACCGAGGCCGTAGTACTCCCGACTCTATACACCATAATTTCGCTATTACGCTGTCGTGCGTGTAGCCTGCGCTAGCAATAATATCGTACGCCTTTGGATGCAGTTATACGCAGAATGGAGCCGGCCGCCTTTATCGGATTTTTTATTCTATAACGCAAAATGTGTGTGTGTGCGCTAAAAAATATATTACTTCGCCGCGCTACAAAAGAACCTATCGCTGTTATTCCGAATAGTACTATTATATACACGTTGGTGAGACAGAACGAGAAAGAAAGAGGAGAGAGAGAGAGAGAGAGAGAGAGAGAGAGGGAGAGAAAAGCAGAGAGAAGTACTAAGAAAAACAATTTAATACTAGGAAAAAAATTATTTAAATAATATAAATTTTTTGGTGGGTACACTAACAACATATTTATTTATATTAATATGAAATATTTTTTAAATAAAAAAATATATTTTTTTAAGATCTTAAGAAAACATCATTGGAAAAAAAAGTATTTGAGTTGATTTACGAATTTGTGCGGATTTTTATTCAACTGACATTCACATGTTGTATTAGGAGGATAATTCTATACCAGTTAGTCTATGTGTATGCTTTAATACTTGACATTTCAAAGCATATTTTGTGGTATAAATGATAGAAGGATAAAATGATTAAAAAAGTACAGTATAGTTGTCTTTGTCGCGGCTTGAAAATGGAAAGTAGCAATGAGTTTTTCCAGTGCATTTCCATATGTTTTTTCAATATTAAAACAGATATTTTTTCATTTTCGTAAAAATTGTTAGAGTTGTATGAGATATTTTGCCTCACCCATCATGTCACCCGACATTGTTCCTTCCGATTATCATCTGTTTCGTTTATTACAGAACTGCCTTGACGGTACAAACCCTGTTTCTTTAGAAGATGCGAAGTCACTTGGAACATTTTTTCGCCGGAGAAGCACGAGGTTTTTACGAGAATAATCATGAAATTAAATTAATTTTGAAAAATAGCAAAACAATGTCGAACATAGAATGGCGCATATATTATGATTGATTAAAACTGTTTTTAACAAGAATAAAGTGTATTTTAATTTTCGAATTTTCGAAAAATCCGCACAAACTTTGTGGATTAACCAAATATTTATAATTAACAATAAACCCAATATTATAACCCAATATTTATAACATCGTATAGTAAAAGATTATAGACAAAAGAACAATTTTTGTAACGAGTGTTGCTATAAATGTTAGTGATAAGCTTATACGCATGTTGCTACTATTACTTCTTTATTAGATGAACAGAAAGATATAGCTGGTGCCGAGAAAATAGCTTAAATAAAGAGAAAATAATTTTAGTGGTCATTTGTTTTTCTCAGTGTTCAACTTTCGAGCAAAAGCACGATCATTTATTCCATTAAAAAGAAAAGAATGTAGATTTAAGTAAACATGTTGTTACTACCCACCAAACCAATGTTTACCAACTTTTAGATATTTTTTTTTCTCTCAATGTAGCGACGTGCGCGTCGCTCGTTAATCATCAAATTATCAGAATAATCACGAGAACGCGCGCGCCAGAAGCGAAATACTTCCAGGCGACATCTGTTCGCCGATAAAATTGAAAAATTGTTAACACAACCGGAAAAGCGTCGCGGAAAAGGAGCGGATACTAAATTGCGATGCTATCGATTGCGCGATATCGTGAACTCTAATCAGCACGACGGCGGTTCTGTGGAAATACGATTATTCCGGTGATCCCTAACGTGAACGCGGAAGGACGCTGCGGCACTTGCAGTCCGGAGATCTCATATCGATAACAAACAGCAGGAACTCTCGCATGAGGTGTCTAATTAGAACCGATAAGCTTGATTTCCGCGACACGCACCGCGCATACGTGTGAGCGCGTGCGCGTGATTCTGTTCGAGTAGGTTCGAGTAGGAACCGACGGGTGTTATGGTATTATGCTGATGGAAATTTGCTCGCGATTTTCTCGTTTTTTCAGTCGACCAATGGAATCGAACGGTTTTTTCTCATTCGTCATCGAACAGCGCGGCGACTCAAATTAGCACGGAGAAGACATTACTCGGGATATTACGTGGCTAAATATAGTCGACGCAGAAATATAGTCGAAATATCAATGTTATTTTTCGCCCATGCACTCTGAGAGAAAAAATATCCTCAGAAATAGTAAATAGTTATTTAATAGCTACAAATATTTTATATTGATGTAAATAAACAGCATTTATTTACAATATAAAATATTTTCCAAATATATAAGAAAATATATATTTTCCTAAAACTTTAAGATCTTAAGTTTTTCATGAGAACAATTATTTGTTCTATTTATATAAAAAAATTTAGATTTAAATAAATATATACTGTTAATACTCCTCTCCCCTCACCATTTAAGTATTCACTATTTTTTAAATATTTCTTCTCTCAATGCATACACTGTAAAAACTGATGTGTTAAATTTAACACATTTCATGTGTCCCAAATCATCTACTCTCATTTATGTGTAAATTTAACACAAAACGAATGTGTTAAAAAGTAACACGCATAATATGGAAAAAATTAACACAAGAATTTAACACTTGAATACCGTTAGGAATCACAAGTTGTGTTAAATTGACATATTTAATGTCAGACATAGATTATGTTAATTTAATATTTTCATCAAAATCATAGATTAATACTTCTCTAAAATGTTAAAATTTATTTTAGTTAATTTAACATCATACATGTCAATTTAACACAAACTGTGATTCCTGACAGTATTCAAGTGTTAAATTCTTATGTTAATTTTTTACATATTATGCATGTTACTTTTTACTACATTTGTTTTGTGTTAAATTTACACATAAATGAGAGTGGATGATTTGGGACACACGAAATATTAAATTTAACACATCAGTTTTTACAGTGTATAAAAAAAATTTTGGAAACCATTGTATTCCGGAAAGCAACTATATACGAATAATAAACTACATAAATATTACACTAAAAAAAATCTAAAAAATAAAAAATATTTATATTCGCTGGATATTAATAATATCTACTTGTACAAATACAAAATATTTCTCAAATAAGAGAATATTTTCTTAAAATCACCCAATGTTTTAACGAAAAAGCAAAGTTTTTTCATAAAAGCAATTGTTTATTCTATTTAAATAAAAGATATAAATATAAATATCATAAATAAAAGGATAATAAATTATTGCAGAATTTCGATCTACTCCGCGTTATAAAATTCTAAGTAACTTTTATTGTAAAATTCTCTTCTATTACTAAAATGTATTTAATTTGGATTCACACATATCTCTTTCTAGCCATAAGAAATATCCTTGCAACGACCATGACAGTTTTCTCCGTGCGTGATTGCCCAATAGGGGCGCAAGCGATATTATTAAGATTTCCGTGACATCTCTCCCGCTTCACGTGGAATCCGAATGACGCGACAGGAGATATTCGAGTCGCGTGTCGTAACTGCGCGATTACTTCCGGTGTGATGTCAGAGTGTCACGCTGTATTTGTTGGAACGTTCCGTTCGCGAAGTATCGCGGGCGGAAAAACCTGGGCGCCGTTACGGCAACAAAATCATAAGCATTCCAGTCACGGGTCAATTCCCTTGCGCGGGCGTTTTTCTCGAGCGACGCTATTTTTAACTGTACCGTTTCTTGCAGATCACGTGGATCGATGGACTGGGCAATGTGCTTCATCGTGGCATCAAAACCACGAAGGAGCCGTACGAGAATGGCCAACTCTACACGGTGAAGTCCGTCCTGAGGGTAATGCCACGGAAGGAGCACGACAACACGACCTTCACGTGCCAAAGCCAGAACGCGGCGGATCGCACGCCGCAAAACGCCAAACTTCGCGTCGAGGTGCGTACTTTGGCGAATTGCGTGTCGGCATAATGCAGCAATCCAATTTAAATCGTCCCCGAGGAGCGCGAGGATCCTTCGTCTTCCTTTCTGTCTTACCTGACTTAAGATAGATACGCGAACGCGCCAGAAATACAGAAAGTATAATTTTAAGCGAAGTCTCCCGCCTCCCATTCTCTCTCTCTCTCTCTCTCTCTCTCTCTCTCTCTCTCTCTCTCTCTGACGTCGCCTGCGACTTATTTTGAGATTACTACAACGATTTGAATGATCGAAAATAAAAGTTCTTAATAAGACTTTTCGTGAAACGAGAACTTCAACTTCGGAGAAAAGGCAGTAATGTATCACGAAAGCCTGTCGTTCGCGTAATTTTCAACGAGGGAACCGAGTTTAGCGACTCATTCTCGTAGGTAACTTGTAGATTATTACGTAATGCAGATGCAATTGGCTATTGCTTTATGCGAGAATGACCCAACCTACAAGATTATTGGTCTGATTATTTGTCTTTTCGGTTGCACGCTGAACTGATGCAATAAGTTAGAGTGAGAAAAAATATACTTGTCTCATTCTAACTTATTGCACTAGTTTAGTAGTGCCGAAAAGAACAGACCATATGATTTTTGCTACCAGTGCCAAAACGTTTTTCCACATAAAGCGTAATCTTTCTACATAAAACAAAAGAGATCCAAGCCATATGGACGCCCAAAATTACATCCATTATTCTTGCATAATTACACAAAGAGAACGATTTGGTTGAATCAAACAAACACTTCTTTAGAACGGTCCAAACGAATTTTTTTATTGATCGAACAATGTTTCGTTTGATGAAACAAATATTTATTTGCGGCTTAGTTTCAAAGAAATATTTTTATTGTGTCAACCAAGAAATTTGTTTGGACTATTCCAAAGAAACGTTTATTCGATTCAACAAATCGTTCTCTCTGCGTACGGCTAATTATGATTACGAAGATGTTATACAAGACGCGAATTCGGGTCCCGCGATTGGAGCCGATCCTGGTAGCGAGAAAAGTCCAAGGAAAATAAAAGCGGGGCCGAGTGAACGAGGGGTGGTAGGGGAAGATAGAAATCTCGCTTAAAGGGAAATAAAATCACTGCCTTTTGCGCGCTCTTTTTGCTCGCTGACCGGAGAAAGAAATTAACGCGAGTCGCGAAAGCGGCCAGGAGGGTAACGAGGGTAACGAGGCGACGTATAATAATTAACGTCGTGTCTTGAGAAGCGGTTAGCGCGCGGTAATCGCCATCCGCCGGCGCAACTTTCGTGCCGCGAGCGCGAGTACTTTGGCGCTCCGGGTACTTCCGCCCTCTTTTCTTCAGACGTAGACTCCATTATCCGGAGTGGCAAAGGGAACAAATAGTTTCATGGAAAGGGCAACGAAGCGGAGCCAGCGGGATTTTTGCCGGGAACATTCGAATTTGCGACGGCGAGGACGACGACGACGACGGGGCGCGATATTATGAACGCTCCGCTCCGCGCGCTCCGTGTGTCCCCGGCTGCAGAAAATTCTTACGAGTTATTACTTAACTCTTTTACACCGTGTGCCGGATATATTACGTTCTTTTCACGACTCCTATATAAGTTCAGCGTTAATATCGTCCTAATTGGGAGCAATTCTTACGCAGGCGCACTCGAGAAATGTGAGATCGTATTTCCGCGACGTGTTACTTCTTTATCGCCCGCTCGAGCGGCGATCGATAAAATCGTTTTTAATTCTGGACATAAAACGCGCGCGGGCAGCGCTGCACACAGGAAAAAGGAAAAATTCCTCGGTTTATCCGAACAAAGGCACTTTGCTGTTTGATGATCGTTAGGGAAACGGGACGAACGGTCAGCATCCGCTGCAAATCATTTCTCACCATTTGTCATTTTAACAAATACGCATGACCTGAAAGACAAATTTGTTCTCGTCTATTTAGGTTATGTTAGTTGTGCTTCCATAGAAGTGTTGCTTACAGCAGTAAAAGTTGAATGTAATAAATCACTTGTTTCCATTACGGGAAGAGGGGAAGGGGTCACTTGTCAACAAACTATTTGTTGCGGATATTGGGATTTTGTTAGATTAAAAACTTTCTCGGAGTATTAACGCGCGCAATCGAACCGACTCGATGTATCTCATTCTATACAGAGAGAATATTGATATATAATCTTTTTCTCTGATACAAATTTTTTATAATTTTATTTCCTAATCTTTCCACGCTCGGGGGAAAAATATCTAAGAAACAGTAAATTTTTAATAGTTTGTTTTTAGTGTTAAATTTCAGTCCCAAAAATGCACTGAAATGAAAAATATTTGAAAAATAAAAAATTGATGCGCACACTGAGAAAAATTTCAGACCAAAAGTACGTTTATTGATCGTTGACGATCGTTAGGGAAACAGATCGGACAGTTATTGTTGCCAATCATTTCTCATCATTTGTTATTTTAACAAACATACATTACCTGAGATACAAGGCACATTTGTTCTCATCTATTTAAGTTAGGTTAGTTGTGTCTACATTACAGAAGTATTGCTCAGAGCGGCAAATTGAACGTAACAAATCACTTGTTCCCACTACGGGGTCACTACTTGCTGTCCCATATCAACAAACCATTTGTTGCGGGTACTGGCGTTTTGTTAGATTAGCAGAGCTTTTTCTCTCGGTTCTCACGCCCACGTTTTTTCGCGTTTGTAAGCCCCGCACGACGGACTCCCGCGAGCAGGGGGATGAAAGGAAGAAAAAATTACGTTCGATGCTGAACAATCCGTCATTAAAATGTAATCGCGTCTCTTTTGATCGCGGATTCTTTAAAGTAATTCAATGGAGCTCCGCTCGGGGCGGATTTAATCAAATACCGTCTTATGGTACAATGTTCCAATAACGTTTTAATTTAATATCGGTATCTCGTGATGTAAAGATTAAATGCCTCTGTAATTAACCTTTAAATTAAATTTCCGTTAGAGGAAACCCCGAGGTTAGCGAGAGGAATAAAGTTTTGTTATCAATTACAATTCCAAAGCTGTGCTCGCGCGCGCAATACTCCTCGTCGCTCACATAAAAGCACTCGGGTGCTTTGACATTTATAAAAGGACTTGGCTGCCGATCGAGTAATCCGCGAATTAAAAGTCCCACAGCGAATCCGGGATATTCAGCGCGGCAACAAATGAAGCACTAACAATCGTAAAATAACAGAGACCGGCGCGCGTGAGAGACAGAGAGAAAGAAAAAACCGAATTAAAGGATTGAATTTTAAAGGACATGATAAATAAGCTCCTCGGCGTATCGCGAAATATCTCCGATTTCCCTTGTGAAATATATAACGAACGCCCCTCGAAAATTTCAAACGCGAGGTAATGGATACCAGCATCATTATTCCGGACTACGCACGTAGCACATTCCGGATGAGAGCATGACGGGTAATATCGAATGAACCGTATTCGATTCTCGCGTGATAAAGCACTGAGAGAGAGAGAAAGGGCAGAGAGAGAGAGAGAGAGAGAGAGAAAAGGGGGAGAGAGAGAGGAAGAAGGAAAGGGAGAAAGGAACGGGAAGCGAAAGACCGAGAGCTCGATTTGTGCGATACTTTTCAGGTACGCTACGCGCCGAAGGTGTCCCTCTCGAAGATCGATCGCATCGTCGAAGGCGCCGAGCTTAGGTTCCGATGTTGCGCCGAGGCCAATCCAGAAGTGCAGGAGTACAAGTAAGTGGACGCGAAAAAAGTATCGACACTTCAATAACACCCGGGGCTGAGAACGAGTCCGAGTTCGATTCCCGCTTCGCCAAGAGGTGCGCGCGACGTCTTGGCATAATAAATACAAAACCGACCGCGCAAGCACAGAGAGCTCGTTCGCTCTCTCTCCCTCTCACGAAAGGCCGCAAAACCACGCGCCGGCTCCCGCGCTGACCGTAAATTGCGCCACGATGGTGCAAAGAAGCGCGCTCGGCTAATACAATTACGAGACTAATTATTATTGTTTCGTGAGAGAAGGAGAGAGGGAGGGAAAGGGCAAATTTTACGGTCCAGTTTTTTGGCTCTGGTTCGGGCTGCGCCCCAAATTGGGGTCGGCCGCCTTGCACATTAAGCTCGATATAATTGGGCTTGGGTTTCAAAGTGATAATAATTGCTCTCTTTATACACTCGCAATTACTGTACTAAATAAAATGCCGACGAGAAGGAGAGCAGCAGGAAGCCAAACGCGAGTCGAATCGTGAGTGTTAACGCGCGCAATCGAACCGTCTCGATATATCTCGTTCTGTACGGAGAGAATATTATATAATCTTTTTCTTTAACACAAATTTTTTTATAATTTTACTTCCTAACTTTTCCATATTCAGGGGAAAAATATCTGAGAAATAATGAATTTTTAATAGTTTTTAGTAGTAATTAATTTTTAATAGTTTTTAGTAGTAAATTTCAGACCCAAAAATATATTGAGATAAAAATATTTGAAAAATAAAAAATATTATTCTCTCTTTCGGTAAATATTAATATAAATATTATTAAGTAAACTAATATTTATTTAAATTTAAATTGTTTCGTTTAAATAGAATAAACAATTGCTTTAACGAAAAACGACGACTTTAGGAAAATGCATATGTTCTCATTTGAAATTTTTTCTCAATGTAAAAATATATGTATTTGTACCCATCGAAAATAAGTATCTTTTATTTTTTAAATATTTTTTTCTGTCAGTGTACAAATAGCACATATGAGATGAAAGGATAATAAATTACTGCAGAACATTCAATTTGTTCTTCGATTACAACATTCTACATTTTTTACTATAAAATTCTCTCCGCACTGAGAAAAAATTGTTTGGTACTTGTGACTGTAAAAGTGTAGTGAAACGCTTATAATCAAGAGAATCAGTTTTATACACTGAAAGAAAAAATATCTGAAAAATAAAAAATATTTATTCGGTGGATGATAACTGATGACGCGCATGTTTACTTATATCAATAAAAAATATTTTTTAAATAAGAAAACATACATTTTCTTGAAATCTTAACTTGCCACAAAAGCAACTGTTTATTCTACTTAAGCAAAAGAACATAAAAGCAAGCAAATATATTGTTAGTACCTGTCGAATAAATATTTTTTATTTCTTTAGATATATCTTTTCTCTCAGTGTTAGCAAGTGTTACCACTATAGTGTTGATAACGACTATAGTGTTGATAAACTCACATGCGTATCGCTGCTACTACTTTTTAGTCAAAACAACGAGAAAAAAGAGCTGGGCACCGAGAACGATTACAATTCTCGTGAGATCGAACATTTCGTTATCTCAGTGCGTGCAGCGCTGGGGAATACTGCTCGAAATTGCATTTCCGAATCTCGATTTTCGAAGTACGGGATACATTTCCTGGAAAATGGCTACGGTTCGGACGGGAGAGACGTCTCATTTCTTCGCGCACGCAATATCACTCGACTGCGATCCGGATCGCGTTAGTCTTCCCTTACTCTTAAGTGATCTGTCAAGTGCGGATCTTAAGCTGCTTAAAGTTTTCACGGAATATCGATAGTTCTCCCCTCGATATCGTATCATGCTACAGGTGAGTGACGCCGTCGTCGGTGCAGCGCGTGAGGGCGCGTAAGCAACGTGAGTTCGCGTTGTTCGTACACCGGCTGCGAGCGACAAAGAGAAGGCGGATGATCGATATCCGCCTACAAAGAGGACAATGTCAAATTCAGGACGGTGTTGCGCGCGCACGTGTTAGCTGGGCGCGTTTGCGGGTTTCACCTAGCGGCCCGCTTTGATTGCTTTTAAATTATTCGTTACGCAACATGCTCGTCGGGAAAAAAAGGACCAGCGGCGACGGCGGCGGCGGCGAGGAGACCCCGACCGACCGACCGTCCGATGACGCGACGTATTAATTTACGAGATTATCGGATTGTCGCTCGGGTTAAATCGGCTCGCGAAAATGTCACCTCGCCAGAAAATATGTATCGCGTGGCTGGCCTGACATATTGCGCGCGCGCCCTACTCTCTAGGAAACGGGCTTTTTCAACGGCGACTGATAGCTTGGATATGCACACGATGTATTCCACGACATCGCGACCCGAGAACGCGATAAGTATTGTTAGACTTGGGAAACATTGAAATGGCCAGATTTCCCATTCCCAAGTCCGGGTCACTTCATAAATGTGTGTAACGGGGAAAGGGGAATCACCGGGAATTATTCAGTGTCTCACACTGAGAGAAAAAAATAGTTGGAATAACTATAATCTCACTATATTTTATAGTTCGTTTTGGTCTCAAACATATATTTATAGTTCATCTAAACATGAAGATATAGTAGAATGAACACAGATTTATAGTCACCATCTTATTACTCTACATAGTTATATAATAGTCAAGATATTAATTAAAAAAGATTGGTGAATGATTATGTGCGATATGATAGATGAGCTGGAATGGCGCCGACTGCCATTGTATATTTGTACATTAAGTCAAACTGAACAAAAAAGTCCTCTAATACTTTGCAAATAACATAGATTTTAATCAAAGAAAATTGTGTACCACAAGGAAAAAAAAGATTTGGTTGAATTAATCAAATATCCGATCGAATATGAACAATCTAGAAATTCCGATTGAAGTAACCCGAATTCTGTTTTCAAGATTTTTGGTTGACTTAAACCCGAATTTCAAGATTTTTGGTTGACTTAAACAGAATTCGGGTTACTTCAATCGCAATTTCTGGATCGTTCATATTCGACCAGATACTTGGTTAATTCAACCAAACCTTTTTTTTCCGTGCAAAATGCACAAATTTTCTTTAATTAATATCTGAAAATCTATGTGCACTGAGAGAAAAAAATAGTTGGAATAACTATAATCTCACTATATTTTATAGTTCATTTTAGCCTCAAACATATATTTATAGTTCATCTAAACATGAAAATATAGCAGAATGAACAAAGATTTATAGTCACCATTTTATTACTCTATATGTAAAGTACACTTTGGGAATATAGTTACATGTATCTATATTTTCCAAATATTCCAATTGTATTGACTATATAAAATAATTAATTTCTCTTACCATTCAATATTTGCTACTTTACTATATTTTTTATTTCAAATAATTATAATTCTTGGTAAAAATTTTACACGGGTCAGTTATACTATACTTATATTGTAAATATTACAAATATTATGATAACATTTACTATAAAAATTATATTCCTAACTATAATATTTTTACTATGCCATTATAGTTTCAAATATCATACATTTTTCTCTCAGTGCAGGTGAACATAAAAATCCGTTTTGCAATATTAGCAATAATGATCTAAAACTGGACAAAAAAGTCGTCTATTTCCCTGAAAACTTTGTAGATTTTTAATTATTAATTAAAGAAGATTAGCGGATAGTCGTTCGCGATAATATATTAATGTTCTCTAATTAATAACTAACAATCTTACAAAGTTATTAGAAAACAGTCCCTACGTACAGTATATACAGAATATTCTGGAACAACATCCCAAGTTTTCGTAAAGACATAGTAGATTAAGGCAGATTAAGGTGAACGTAAAAGTAAAGGACTTTTATGTCTAGAGGAGTATTATGCTTTCACGAGAACTTGGGAGGTTGTTCTAGGATATCCTGTACGTAGGAACTGTTTCGGAAGAAAACGAGATGTCTGATCAGGTAAATCTTAGAGATATTAACGTAACACAATCTGCTAACGGTCATACTAAAGAAAAAAGATGTTTGGTACCAACAGCTACAATTACATACAGAAATAATTGCTATAAATTACGATCAACACAATATTTTTCGTTTTAACTTTTTTAATTAAATTTTTAAATTCGACTACAATGTTAGTGATGATAACTCTATATGCATATTTTCATTTTCGCGTTAGAATGAAATACGAGAAGAATTTCGCGTTTACAAGAAATACGATTAGAATTTTGCGTTTACAAGAAATACGATTGGGGCAAAAAAAACAGATACAATTGTGGTTAGCAATTTAAAAAAAAATCATTTTGCTCTCTCAGTACATCTCCGCCGGGTTATCAAACCGCGCGAGTCTCGCAAATTAACTTCGTACAATTCAAGAGGAATGGAACTGAAGGTTTTCGCGTTCGGCGCTCGCGGTTGCACGCGGTGACTGAGATCTCATTCGTTGCATTTTTCAAATACCGCACGCGAATAGCACGAACGGCACTCGCGTACGCCAGTTTGAAAATTGATTTTTTGCGGAGCGTGCCTGTCTTCTTCGAGGCGTGCGACGTGTGTTAAAGCTCGCTGAAAGAGCGAGGATAAAAAAGATAGATAGGTAGATAGACAGACAGATAGAGATAGATAGATAGACAGATAAAAATAGATAGATAGGTAGATAGATAGATAGAGAAAGAGAGAGGAAGAGAGAGAAAGAGAGCTTGTCAACGGCTTATGGCGATTCACGGATAATAGGATAGACGGAGAAACGAGTAAAGCAGCGAGGACCACATTGTAGCGCGATAACGAACGTTAGTTGCCAGTCGCTTTAACAGCTTTTATAGCTTTCACAGCTTTTACAGCTTTTACACCGGTCGTCGCGCGCCGCCCGTAAAAGAGATTCGGAGGTGAAAACTGAGGCAGCACCGACCGACGTGACTCTCGTGTCTCGCTTTTGTGCGCGCTTTCGGCCGTCGGATAACAGGGACAGAATCATTATCCGATCCGTGTCGGTATCAGTTTTTCAAATGATGTCGTTACGTCCGCGACAAGGAGGCCGGACAATTTTCAAAGGAAAATCTCCTCGGGCAGTCGCCAGATGCGAGAGATAAGCCCGGCCCATTGGGCCGCTAATTAATTTTGGATGCTAATTAATTCCGCTACTTCCATAACCGAAAGTACCCCCGGTAAAATTACATGCAGAGCTTGCAGAAAGCGGAATTACTACGCGTAAAGTGCTCCCTCCCCCTCCTCCACGCCGCCGTTACCGTTGTAACGCGCTGAACTTTCCGTCCCTGCTCAAATATTACGTACAAATATTTTATGTCCGCGATATCGCACGGATATGCACTCCCGAGAATGTACAATTGATTCTCACCGTTGGAATCTTGCAATCGGTAGAGGGAGCGCATAAGAGAACAGAGAAAGAGAGAGAGAGAGTCGCTCTCAAAACACATCGTTAGGTTAGGTACGAAGTGTCCCGCGGGACACGAGAGGGTTGATCTTTACCGCGCGAAAGATACGGGGATGACCCCGAGGCACCTCAATGTTTATCGAGTCGTTATAGCACTCTGTAGCCGCGCGAATGTACGTTGCGTCGCGGGCGCGCGCTTTCCCCCGGCATCTTTGCGAGCTAAATTGTCTGTCGGACAGCCCCGATAAAATCGATCGCGACGCGCGGGTGAGAGGGGAAGGGGTGTGGGAACGAGAGGGGACGGTGCACCGGCGGCGGTTTCTCTCTCTCTCTCTCTCTCTCTCTCTCTCTCTCTCTCTCTCTCTCTCTCTCTCTCTCTCTCTCTCTCTCTCTC